GGGATCTACCATCCCCAACAACAACCGAGCTATATTGGCCGGAATATATGATCCTTTAGGATCTATCATAACAGGCAGGTCGATTGGAGAACGTTAAGACTAAAAGCCGCAACTCAAGGAAGGGGTCAGAAAAGATCAACCCTAAAAATGTCACATCTTTCCTTAACTCAAGGATTTCTGTCTCCTGTGTTAGTGACTTCTAAGGAGCAGACGTAACAATTTAAAACCTCATAAAAAGGCCGTACGTGGTTGGTCACACTCCCAGGTCTCTAAAACCAACTCTAGTCCGAATTCCTTTCAGGCTCCTCAAGAAATACCATTTCACGATGTGGGCAACCGGAAAGTAACATGCGGCCTCGTATCCTTTATCACCTCACTCCGCTGATGTAAACGATTCGAGTACACAAAACATTAATCTTGGTCTCCTGAAACCGCGCTCTAAAATACATGTTAGAGCTTTTTAATGTCCGGACATTGTGGCAAATAGGAAAACTGGCTTCCTCAGCCAGGACTTTAAGATCTCGTGTCATCGATGTCTGCTGCATCTTCGAAAAGCGTATACAAGATTCAGGTAAAATCATTCATTTGACCACACTTTGTAAAGATAAAGCATTAACTCGACTGACCAGAGAGAGGTGTCTGGAGAATGAAATGTATCATGGCGTGATCAGAGCGAATTGAAGACCGAAATAAATATGCGAGAAGACAGTCAATAAACTGCTTCTACTGCAAATAGATGTCTGAAAATTACGTGTGCGTATAATTTGTAAGCTGTCTCCTCTAAATATATGTATTACATCTTGAAATCACAAACCGTACTACCTTACCACAGCAAGAAGGGGTTAGAAAAGTCGACCTGAATATAGAACACTTAAAGTTTTATTACAGATTCCTAGTGTTTGTGGTAATGTCCCTCAAAAGCCACTCATTAAAAGGTGATGAGTTGTAAATTTCAACCAACTGCCGTTTGACTTTTGCAGTCACGCTCCAAGGTCGAAAAAAATCACAACTCACTACCCATAATCTATTGACTGTTCACACTGAATTAGTTATCATTTCTCATTACTGATTACTACTTATAAGAAACCTAACTGAAGTTTATATGTCGACTGTAAATCACTCAATATTCATCTGATCGCTTTCCGTGTGAGTGTTTCTAGTTATCAAGTCCCCAAATAGACCATAGTGATCATGATTTGTCTCAAAAAAATCTCTGTTTGAACAGTTGATTTTACTTTCAAAAGATTAATTTACCAATTTCTACATCTACTATTGTGGTGTGTTCTACTTATACGAACGATATAAGTAGTATAAGAAGGGATGTGAAAGAAGAAGTCTCACCACGGTCACAAGAGGAAAACGGAAAGCAAATGGAGCAAAAGCAAGAAGTAAGTGGAGTACCAACAGGAAGGAAAGGAAGCAACAACAGGAATGGAAGAAGGATGGAGTGTTGGAAGTCACGACTCAAAGATGGTGTGCAAATAGAGTGTTCAATGTAATGTTTTCGTTTTTAACTGACTAAGAGGTATTCACAGAAAAGAGGGAACCTTGAACATAGAGATTTGGTGTTACCTAGCACAAAGCAGTCATCCTATAAGGAACTAATTGAAACATGAATTAGTTGGCTTCAAAATTTGTGATTTTCCTATTGAATGAGACATATTAGGAGATGTAGGAAGGATTTAATTGTGACCGATTTGATCTCGTGAGCTGTTACAGGTACCGGATATCACTTCCCGGCTGTACACACCATGGAAGAGTGATTTTTAAGGAACATGAAAAGGAAGGTAGACTAACGAACGTCTTAATAACCTGAGAGAGAGTGATCACATAGCCCAAGGGAAAACTGCTTGAGGCTGGTCACGTACGGCCTGTTTTTGGTACGAACAAAGATTTTAACGTGTAAATAGGTGTTTATCGAGGGGAGATTCTTCTTTTGGGTAGAAGAAACTGTGATTTAAATCCAATATACAAGACTAATCTGTAATAACCTTTTAAATCAACGAGAAGCTGTGGGATATAGAGGTTTCTTCACTGCTATTTGTCACTTGTCAACTTAGTGTATTCGGAATGTTGAGTAAGAATTACGATCTAAGTGTAATTCAAATTGAAGTTACTCACTGACATCATAATAGACGTAATTATTAGGCTTGTTGGGTTACTTGTGACTGATATGCAAAACTAATACATCTACTCCGATTGATTTGTACGGTGTTAGCTCCGCTTTTGTTTAAAAGCTGTCACCGCAGGAGATGGAAATTCGTAGAGTAAGGTAGGGTGTGACATTTTTAAGGTCAACCTTTTCTAACCCCTTCCCTACTTGTGCGAAGGCAGCATCGCTGCGGATGCTGGTTGTCAGATACTGCTGTCACAACCCTCTACAGTCAGCAGTACGACTTTGTCCTCAGACCTTGAATAGCTGCTTTTAGTCTTATCGTTCTCCAATCGACCTGCCTGGCATAGTAGAACCTACAGGAACATATGTCCCAGACAATATAGCTGGGCTGGTTTATCACAATAGGCAAGCCTGACCACCACATCAAAGTAACAGCTACGGTTGGGTTACTATTGAGTTGGCTAGGCCTCCATTGACTTCTTTTTAGAGACTAAGTCTAGTTCTTTACTGCTGATCAACGTCCATCGAGTAAGTATCATTCAATACCATAAATTAAAGTACACTAAGATTGATACAAAAAAAACAAAATATGATAAACGATAAACTTACAATTAAGTGATCTCTGTAGTTTATTACGTAAAGAAGAAAGCTTTCCAGGTAGATAGATATTTTCAATGAAATTTTTAAGTTGTGTACGTAATTGACACCGTTGACGATCATCGTGCCCACCTGTATCACTAAAAGTAAAATAATTGATTAAAAACTTTAATATATATATGTATTTAAAAGTAGAGATGGACAGTGGCTAGCAGTGCGATCCAAGATGTGTGTTTGGTCCTATTTAGAACTCATCAGCTAGATGTACTTACTACCTACAGTCTAGAATTGATGTTCGCCCTGATAGATCCAGTGAACGAGTTGCAAATGGGAAGAAACGTCCATCCTGGATTCCACTGTAAGCCACTAACCATTTGTGCTTATAATACTTGCGACCTAAGGTTGCCATACCACATTAGCACAGAGATATAATTGTCAGTTCAAATCCCGAAGTAGTAGAGGTATTAGAAGCATTAGCGGTTATGGAGAAGATTAGGGTTCGAAAACTTTATTCAAGATATATAATTCAGTGAGATAAAGTTGGAAAGAGAAAGATAGAGGTGATGAGGAATTCAGATGATTAGAATTTGAGAGAAGACAATGAGTGCAAATGCACCTGATCCATTGCAAACGGTTTTGAGACATGTCATTCAAAGTCTCTAACCATCAATTAATATTGTCTCGCGGACTCCAACCAGGTAGTCTACATCTACCAACATGGCTGAGACCATTTGTCAGTGATTTCATCGGTTTGTACCATGTTTTGGTTTGTCCGCATCCAGCTTTCTTCCAACTTACCCCTAGACCACAAAGCATAGCTCGTCGAGGCAGTCGGCGCTTGGTCATACGTAAAACATGTCCCAACCACCTAAAATGATTAAGTTTCACTACTTCATCAGGATGTCAAATGAGACTGGTCAATTATAGTAGTCCTAACTATCAATGGGAAGATTCGAACTGACAGTACAAGTAGATATATAATTTGCGATTACATTACCCAATATGAAGTTAACTGCTTATCATGTCATATCATTAAAGTTATAAAATCATTTCAATTTTTCTAAGTCCTAATTATTAAGTTTAGAACTTAATAACTGGATAGTAGGCATCCTACGTCAACACTTAAAGAGAATATGAGTTGTTGTAATGTTTTTGATTTTTGGAAATATCTTACTAACTTCCAATAAATTCCCAACATAGACAAGATATGATACTCTATTAAATAGAGTAAAATTATTATTATTATTATTATTATATGCAAGTTTTCCTATGCTCTCTGTTAGTTATCTAGTTTTAATCGAAATTCTTACATATATACGTACTTACGCCCGTTGCCCTCAATGAAGTATAGGCCATCGACCAGCAATCTACAACCTACGCTATCCTCAGACATCGTTTGCAGTCCTACCCGATTGCTATGCATTCTTTTCATGTCTGCTTCAAATTCTCGGAGCATTATGTTCCTTGTTCTATCTCTTTTCCTTGGGCTTTGAGAAGTTTGGGTTAGGGCTTGCCCTGTGATGCAGTCAGGTGATTTCCTCAATATGTGTCCTAACCATCTCCAGTGATTTTGTTAATTTCTTCCTCAGTTGAAATCTAGTTTGTCTGCTGCTACACTAGGTTGTTACTGATAATATCTGGCCAACAGATCCTTAGTTTCTTCAGTCGACAACTGTTAATCAACACTTGTATCTTCTGGATGATGGCATTGGTAGTTCTCCATGTTTCCGCACCATACAGTAGAACTGTCTTGACATCTGTATTGAAAATCCTGATTTTGGTGTTGATTGATATTCGTTTAGAGTTCCAGATATTTTTCAACCGTAGAAATGCAGCCCTTGCTTTGCCAATCCGCGCCCTCACATCTGCATCGGATCCACCTTGATTGTCGATGATGCTACCTAGATATGTAAAGGGTGTTAATGTCCTTCATCCAAAGCATCTCCATCAAGAGTGATTTGGTTGGTGCATGTTGTGCTGCATCGGAGAATTTTGCTTTTTCCTTTATGTATGTTGAGACCTACTGCTGCAGAGGCTGCTGCTACACTGGTCATCTTTTTTTGCATTTGTTGTTGCGTGTGCGATAGAAGAGCCAAGTCATCTGCGAAGTCCAGATCATCCATCTGCGTCCTAGCTATCCACTGAATACCGTGCTTTCCTTCAGATGTCGACGTCTTCATAATCCAGTCGATCACCATGAGAAAGAGAAAGGGTGAGAGTAAACAACCTTGCCTGACACCGGTCTTCACCTCTAAAGAGTCTGTTACCTGTCCTTCGTGCATGATTTTGCAGTTGAATCCATCATAAGAATTCCGTATGATGTTAACTATTTTCTCAAGCAAACCATAGTGTCAAAGAAGCCTCCACAGTGTTTTCCTATCCACGCTATCAAATGCTTTGCCATAGTCAATGAAATTGATGTAGAGTGTGGTGAATTCCATTCAATTGATTGTTCCACAATCATCCATAATGTTGCTATTTCCATTCAAACTTAACCAGTAAATTAAAAAAAAATGAACGATTTCATCATAAAGTATGCAAAAAAGAAAACAAACAAAGCTGAAAAAATGCATAACATTTCAAAAATACAACAACTTACGAATGATTGACGGAGTGTAAATCAGAAAATTCTGTATACTTGATCATTTCCCATTCAACAGCTTCAATAAATTCCATTACCATTTTATATACACTTAATATATTATCACCAGATGGTCGACATGCCAATGGATAAATTGGAGCAGATTTCTCTGTCATTGTTTGTCCAGTTTGACTATCAACACCAGGTAAACCTGACTAATGTGGGATTAATAAAACCGTTAGAGTAATAGTAGTAGTAGTATTTGAAAGGTCATATTTTACATACAGAACACGTAGAATCGAAAGAACTGTTGCGCAGTCAGTCAGTCAGATGCAACGTAGAACTTCGTACGTAAGTACACCAGTTCATGTTGTCATACCACATCAGCACAGACAGATGTAATTGTCAATTCAAATTCAATAGTAGTAGAAGTAGTAAAGGTATTAGAAGATATTATTCAAGAAGTATGATTCATTGAGATAAGGTTAGAAAGACAAAACTAGATGCGTTGAAGAATCCAGATGATTAGGATTTGAGAGGACACAAAGAATAGATGCACAGGCTGTATTGCAAACGGTTTTGAGCCATGTCATTAAGGGTGTCTAACGAGTGGTGTTCGAGTAGAGAGCTTTTATAAGGTTAGTGTACTTCTTTGGTACACCTTTCAATGACAGACACTGCCACAGTACCTCACGATCGACTGAGTCAAATGTCGCCTTAAGTTCCAGGAAAACAACTATTGTAGGACGCCTAAATATGTGTGTGTTCCGAGACCTATACAGGCACGTCCAGGTTGCGCAGTAAACAGATATCTTTCCTTAATCAATCAAAAGCAACGTAGAACTTTGTACGTACGTACATCAGTTCAAGTTGCCATATCACATTAGCACAGAGATGCAACAGTCAATTCAAATCCCATGGTAGTAAACGTAGTAGAAGTATCACCGGTAGTAGGAAATTTTAGGGTACTACGATATTATTCAAGAAGTAAAATCTAGTGAAATAAACTTAAAAAGAAAAAGATAAAGGTGATGAGGAATTCAGAAGGTGAGGATTTAATAGAACACAAAGAATGAATGCACCTGCGTCATAGCACACAGTTTTGAGCCATGTTATTCAGGGTCTCTAACCATCGATTACTATCGACATCTTTCCTAAAAACAATATAGCACAGGTTAATACTCTAAAGTGCAGATAATAGCAAATCGATAATTTTCTGGGTTTGTTTGCAAGGACTCTTAAGAAATATTTACTTTAGGATATGAAGTACAACTTACAGGTTTTGTTAAGATCATTTTTACTTTAGTCTGTCTAGATTTTCTCTCGATGTCCAAACAATTCGTTTAGCAATAAAACTTGAAAATGAATTCTAAATGAGTAGTTCAAGTGAATTGTTTGAAGGCTAAGTTTATTGTGATGTTGATTTGCGTGATATTTACTTAATTATTTATTTACTGACATCTGTCAGCTAGCGTGGAGTACAAGTCGTCGACCAACCACCTGAAACCTACTTGCATGATACACTGAAAGTTTATTATTTCAAGTATTAAACTGAAAATTAGATACACATTGACCACTACTCCAACGATCAATCAATTTATAGAATTCGTTTAGTAGAAGTAGAATATACTGACGTCCTTAAGTGAACTGTATCTGCTCCAAATCAATCAATCAGTTAATCACAACATAGAACTTGATACGTACATACATCAGTTCAAGTTACCATACCATATTAGCTCAGAGATGTGATTGTCGATTCAAATCTCATAACGGTAGAGGTAGTAGAAGTATTAACGGCAATCGAAAAGATTAGGGATCGAAGATATGATTCGAAAAGTATGTCCCAATGTAATAAGTTTACCAAAACAAAAAACTACCATTAGGAATTTAGGAGATCAGAATTTGAGAGAAAACAAATACAATGGATGCATCTGCGTCATTGCAAACGATTTTGAGCCATTTCATTCAAGGTGTCTAATCGTTGATTATTATTGTCTCGCCGACCTCGACCTGGTAGCCTACATCTACCAACATGACTCAGTCTACTTGTCAGTGACTCCATGGATTTGTGCCATGTTTTTCAGTTTGACTGCCCCTAGCTTCAGTCCAATCTATACCCATACATCAGACAATACATCGTACTAAACTAAAATCTAGCAAAACTTTTAAATAGTGTTTTAACTACATGTGAAAATTACTCTTTCCTTTATTTAAGCCTCAATAAAAAATCGATAAAATAAAAAGTATGAGAAATATGAAAGATAATATATAAAATTGATACTAACCATACTACTTATTACTAAGTTACAGAAACAAAAAAACATTAAATGTAGGTCGCATTAATTGATTAACACATTAGTTCAATATGAAAAATAGTTGAGAATAATAAACATTGTATGTAAACATGAGGCAGTATGATACACACAGAATTAGAAGGTGAAGTTGGTCTACAAATGGAAAGTGCTCATTATCACGTGATGTATTTACTATGCAAAAATGAATCATTTTTCTGTGACCACTTTCTCACGTATCCTAATTATTGATTACTACTATTAGTATTAGTAGTAGTAGTAGTAGTGTTATTATTGACAAAATATCACTTGATACATACAGATACAACACAGAACTTGGTACGTATATACATCAGTTCAGGTTACCATACCGCGTTAGCACAGAGATGCAACTGTCAGTTTAAATCCAATAGTGATAGCGATAGTAGAAGTATTAGCAGTAATCGGGAAGATTAGGGTATAATTCAGTGAGATAAAGTTGGAAAGAGAAAGATAGAGATGATGAGGAGGAATTCAGAAGGTTAGAGTTTGAGAGAACACAATAAATGAATGCATCTGCGCCATTGCAAACGATTTTGAGCCATGTCGTTCAACGTCTCTAACCATACAGATAATTAACTGTGATGGAGTTTCCATTTTTTCTGAAATGAATGTTTGCTGTTCAGCACGAGCCAATGCCTATGGTGATGACCCAACCGAGCTATATTGGCTGGAACTTATGTTCCTGAAGGTTCTACCATTCAAGGCAGGTCGATTGGAAAACGATGAGACTAAAAGAAGCTACTCAAGGTCTGAGGACGAAGTCGCACTGCTGACTGTAGAGGGGTGTGACAGCAGTAAGGTGTTTCCCTCGGACAACCGGCATCTGCAGCGATGCTGCCTTCTCACAAGTAAGGAAGCAAGGGTTAGAAGTGGTCGACCCTAAAACTGTCACACCTCACCCTACCTCACGGTAGGGTACCGTCTCCGTCGGTAAGGGCTGCCCAATAAGGGCTTTCAAGAGCGGAGCTAACACTCAAAAAACTCCTCATAAAAAGGCCGTGCGTGACCGGCCTTAAGCAGTTGTCTCTTGAACTCTGTGGTCACGCAACCAGGTCTCCAAGACCAACACTAATCTACCTTCCTTTCCAGGTTCCTCCAGAAATAACCTTCCATGGTGTGGGCAGTCGGGAAGTGACAACCGCCCTCATACCCGTAACAGCACACGAGACCAAATTGGTCGAAATCAAATCCTTCCTACACCCCCTAATACCTCTCCAATCTCCACGACTAAGCCTTCTCACATTCCTTCATCACACTGCACACTGTGAGTTCACGAAACGTCATTACTGGTCTCCTGATGTACGTACGTACGAAGTTCTATGTTGTAGCTGACTGAACAACTCAATCACTGACAAATAAGGATAACATAACAATAAAACGATCTATTCAGATGTTCGTAAATTGGATGCAACAAGAAACTATCAACCTATTCGGTGCATAGATGGCCAGCTATCGTCGGGTAGGAAAAGTATGCTCAAGGATGCAAAAACCACTAAAAACCTGCAGAAAAAAATACTGTGTCTCGGTAGTTCTCTACTATGCTTAAATAAGTGTCTTTTCTCGGGAAGAGCCAAACAGCGGCACCTAAATGTTTACAAAAATAATTAAAATCGATTGACGCAATATGAGTAGATAATAAACATCTAGTGTCCGCTATAGTTGAAACAGGTCAATCAGATTGATTATAATTCCGCTTTTGTGGTACTGCACAAAATTGTTTAAGATAATAATATTAAGGTTTATTGAAGCTTTGGTCGTGCAAAAATTTAACTCGCCCACTCATCTTTACGTATTTCTTACTTCTCATTTGTGCAGTTGAGCATTAATTATTTCTCAATATAGAGTTATGAATCAATTATTGTTAGACCACCATTAGAAACCTGGCTGCACTGGACAGCCGTTTCGTCCTGGTATGGAACGCATCAGTGACAGTGCGCATCCACGACTTCAGCGACTTTCAGGATTCGAACACAAGACTTTCGAAGCTTGAGTTGTGTGTTTGTGGACCTTGTTCCTACTGGATACATGTCTTATCAAGACTCCTCCTCTAGTTATTGGATTAGAGCAGCATATCGAGTCGCTGAATTATTGATCATCGTTCCGTTTACCGAGTAAGGTGAATTCGTAATAGTTCAAGTATATTAGTATTACGCCTGCACGTAAACACGTCAACTTGATATACTTGAACTATTAGGAGTTTATCTAGTCGGAAAATGAGAGCGAGGATCGAGGATCCGGCGACACGACATGATACTCAAATCCGATTATCCCAAGCTCCATATTTAGTAAAAATAAGATGTGATATGAAGTAGAACTTGTATTCTACAAACATACAGAAAGTACGAGGTCCGAACCCAGAAGAGAATCAGGATCCAGGACTAAGGATCCGGAACCGGGTCCTGGTCATAAAACGTCACACATAATGCATATTTGTACATTTTGGTCGAATAGGAAACAGCATCGAAGTCTATGACATTAACAGTTAAGACGACCAATAGGAAGCAACACTTGTATTGACATTGATAGTCAGGATAACCAATAAGAAACAACATTGAAGTGTGTGACATCGATATCTAGGACGACCATAAAATTGACCAATAGGAATTAACCAATAGGAATTGACCAATAATTCTCTTACGATATTGGATGAATATCCTGACAAAATTAGTCAGTTAGTTAGTTAGTTAGTTAGTTAGTTAATTAGTGTTATTACAATAATTGATTATATCTAGTATAGACTTACCATTGCTCGACTTTCTGATAAATACGTCGATACACCAAGATAATGTGATGCATTAGAAAAGCTAAATAATGGTACATTATTATTACTTTGACCTTGATTTGTTGCAACAGTTGGATTAGTTGCAGTAATATTTCCTGTAATTGTATTCATATTCGATTGATTATCTCGTGTCGTAGTAGTAGTCGTAGTAGAATTGATATTAGTAATAGTAGCAGTAGTAGGAATAGTATTAGTATTGGTTGAGATCATAGTAGCGCTAGCAGTAGAAGTAGTATTAGTAGTAGTATTAGTAGTAGTTGATGTTGTTGTCGAAGATGAACCAGTGATTGATGCAAAATTAAATGCTCCAATACGTTTACGACCCATTAATGCATTCAAATCAACTTTGCTTAAATCTAATGTCGCACTGGAATGATCATTATCCGTTGTTGTTACATCTTCACCGTCAATAGCAATACCGATTTTACTAATACGTGCTTGTAGCTTGAATAAACCATTTTTATTTGATGAAAGTGATAATTCATTTAATTCAGTTGGTGTAATATTATTTAGATGTGTTAATAAAACACAATACACCTGACCGACATCAACATCATCGTGAGAAAAAATATTAGAATAAGGAATAATGCTCGAATTTTAATCAATCAAGTTTTACATTAATAATGAGGACAATGAATGTAGAAGATTGAAATTCGAGACGAAGACAAAGACAATGGGTGCATCTGCGCCATTACAAACGATTTCGAAAGCTATGTCGTTCAGGGTATCCGACCACCGGTCAGTCCACTTGTCATTGACTTCATGGATTTGTGCTATGTTTTGATGTGGCCGCCCCCAGGGTTTCTTCTAAACCACAATAACATCAGAAAACATAGCTCTTTGAGTCAGTCAGTCAGTAGTTGGGCATACACGTAACACATGTCGCAACCATCTAAACTGATGAAGTTTCACTAATTCATCTATTGAACTGCCATTCTTACTTAATACCCGTTTCCTAACGAGAACATTGCTTACTTGGTTGTTCCATGATACACGAGCAATGCTTCAGAGACATCTAAGATCGAAAACCAGTAACCTACGAATATCTTCTACTCTCACTGGCCATGTTTCACAGCCATAAAGTAAGACGGAGCGATCTGCTTCGCAGTTCACTCGGATATCTCACCTATGGCATAAGTGACGCAAGTTAGCAAAAGCCAATCGAGTCTTCTGTATCCGTGCTGAAATTTTGTCAGTCATCTGGCCATCAGTACTGATAAGACTTGCAAGATAAATGAAGCGGTCAACACGGTCAACTACTTCACTGCCGATCATTAGTTCATGTGCCGACTCAAGTCAATTCTGAAGCGAAATTTTGCACCTCGAAGAGGAGAATCGCGTCTCAATCAGTTTCCATTTATTATCGGTTTAGTTAACATCATGTTATCTCTAGAAAAATACTAAATAAGATAGAAAAATAATTAAACGATTTTACTTACTTCATGTTGAACACATGACCAGATATATTGAGTAGTTAAACCTTGTAGTTCTATGGAAGCTCTGACATGTTTCTTTATAAATGAAACAAAAGTATAAATAAGAACAATTGCATAGTTTTTACATAAAAATAGCCTTTTAAAAAATTCATTTAAACAATTAGCATTGTATTGCGGAACTGATTAATTGAAACAACACATACTCTGACATTTTTATCTCTCAGAAAAGCATTATTTGAGTATAATCAGTCATTCAGTTAGATGCAACATAGTACTTGGTACGTACGTACATCAGTTCAAGTTGATACCTCCTTTAACACAGAGATGAAATTGTCAGGACAAATCCCAGCATAGTTGAAATAACTACGGTATCAGTGGGGAAAGGGATCGAAGATACGATTTCAGAAAATATAAATTACTAAATAGAGTGAAATCACTACAAGTGAATACTGTTAAACGATTGAACATGGGATATTAGGAAAAAATAATATGTTAATCCACTGGATAAAGCTGTACATCCTTATCAATCGAGATCAGTTAGAATTTTGTAATGAATGCTTAATTAGCAAGTATTTAGACATACTGAAAATTTGCCAAACTATTGTCTGTTGAACTGAGTCACTTTATATGATATGGTTGACATTAACTTGAGAAAATGCAACTGTATATATTGAATCACAAATCTCATTTTCCGATTGGTAAGTAAAGAAAAATGATGTGTCTGAATGATTGTTACGCCTGCACGTAAACACGTCATCTTGATATGCATGAACTATTACGAGTTTACCTAGTCGTAAAACGAGAACGAGGATCGAGGAACCGGTGACACGACATGATACTCAAATCCGATGATCCTAACCCATATCGAATAAAAGAAGAAGACTTGATATGAAGTAGAACGTGCATTCTACAAGCATCCAGAAAGTACGAGGTCTGAATCCAGAAGAGAATCAGGATCCAGGACTAGGGATTCGGGTCCTGGTCCTAGTCGTGGTCATAAAACGTTACAGATAATGCGTTATTATACATTTTGGTCGAATAGGAAACAACATCGAAGTCTGTGACATTGACAGTTAAGACGACCAATAGGAAGTAACATTTGAAGTGACATTGATAGTCAGGACAACCAATAAGAAACAACATTGGGGCGGGGAACGCGCTGAGGGAGAGTGGAGGTGGCAGCGCGGCCAGAGGCTGTAGAGAGCTTGACGGTAAAATAGACTTGAGGCGTGGACTGGCGTGACAGAAGCAGATGAGGCCGCGGGACGAATGTACCGGAGCCAAACGGGTGAGAAATAGAATCACCAGGACGGATTAGTCGAGGGAGTCGGGGGGAGGACGACGGCGGGGGGAATTTACGGGGTGAGGGGGGGAAGGTAAAAAGCGTGATGGATAGCACACAGTGCAATTAAGATGGAGAGGAAAGAAGTTTCATCACGATTATTAGTACAGAGAGGATATTCACAACATATGTTAAACATGGTATATTGTTATATAGTAAATATGCAGTGTAATTACAGATTTCTCATTGAGAAATCCATCTCAAAGTTTGTAAATAGGAGTTGTCGGATGTTATAGATATATTTACAATTTATGTGGCACACAGTAATTTTGTACGTGAGTAAGATGTGCAACCAATGAAATAATTGAAAGAAGAGAAGGAAATTCTTGCAGTTAGTTAGTTCAAACAATAAAATTGAAGTCAACGAACAGGCCGCACATCAACCGTCGGATTTACTTTAAGTAGGCATTTGAAAAAAATAAGCTCATACCGGATTCCCAAGTGGGAAAAGAAAGGGGAAAGAGGCAGAGAGAAGGAGATGGAAGGGAGGGGGGAGGAGGGAGAGAAAAAAAGAGAAGAAGGGAGAATGAAGAAAAGAACTTAAAGAGGAGATAACGGGCCCAACTAAAGGGAAGGAAAAGAAGAAAAAGTTTTTTTTCTTTTGTTTTTTTTCAAGAAGTTGAGTGGGGGAGGGATGGGGAAGGTAAGGAAACAAAGAGGAGGGGGGAGAAAGAGAAAGAAGAAAGGGCAAAGGGAAAGAAGGAGAGGGAAGAAAGACAGGGGGGGGGAAAAGGGGGGGAACACAGTGGGGGGGGGATAAAGGAGGGAAAAGGGGAAGAAGGGGGGGGGGAAGGGAAGTCTCCTAGCTCCCTTGTTTCCATTACCTGTTGTTCCGCCCCTTCCCTTTTCCCTCTTTCTTGTCTTTCTTTCCCTTTCTTTTCTTTTCTTTTTTCTCCTTCCCCCTCCCCCTTTCCTCTTCCCCTCCTCTCTCTCCTCTTCCCTCTCTTCTTCTTCCCCTTCTTCCCTCTCCGTCTTAGTCATACAGTAACATTAACAGAATCAAAAAACCAATCTAATAAAATCAAAATTTGAAGCAGACCCATCGTACATCACAGTTCACCATTATAATCAGCCGATCCAGCCCCGTTTCGAATGGTTAAGCATAATGTCCTCACTACGCAAAGATGTGATTATATTGCTGCAATTCAAAGACTACACTGAGGCACCCCATTCTTGGCTTCACATGTTGAACCCATACAAACCCCCGTCAACGTATGGGCGAGGCCCGGCCACTCACGCCCGTGACCCCCCGACATACCTACAAGTAAACCTCTTTACTCCACTTAGTAACACCCCCTGCTTTGTTCAGTACCGTCCTGCTGGCCACACACTCACCGTTCTGCGCTCACTCTAGCAACAGTTCCGTCACAACACTAATACCCTTAAACTTCACACACTCGCGCGTCCTGGAAAACCATACAAATCCACCCCGGACATAGGCTCCCTCGAAATACATTCATTTTACCGAACCCTATTGTTCTACTCTCTCCTCTCCAATGGGGGATGCGTCAACACCGTGATAAAACTTATTTCGTGGTCACACCGGGCTCTTCTCCCCTGCCCAATCCTAATCCAATGTTGGAAAGTTTGAAACAATCAT